AGGCTTAACATTAGAATATAAGTATAATGGTAAGGCTTACACAGACATTTTTTATTCTTTCTAAACGATATCAACAATTTTCTTATCTGAAGATTTAAGAAATAAAGTTGATTAGAAACTATAACAAAATAGCACGACTAAGAAAGATAAGAATCAATAAGAAAATTTTTAATCAATTAGAATGCATTTTTAAAAAGATATAAGTTAATAAACATAAAATAGTATAAATTATTAAATGTGAGTATGATGAGATGGATAAAAGCTATAACTATAATTATATATTACAAACAAAGAAGCTGAAGCTGTAAAAGAAGTATAGATTGCTAAACAAAATGATAGAGGCATAGTGAAAATGGAAATATTAAACAATTTTCCATTAATTGGAAATATATTAGCACATTATATGGCATAATTAGCACACTTATAAATTTATTTCAACCAAGGATATTTAACAGCTGTGCATGTTGAAGTTTTTATTGTATTTACACTTTGAATGATAATGAACAGTTTATAGGTTGAAATAAGGGTCAGTAATCATCAACACATTATGATTCAGGCAGATCAGTGCATTTACTTGAAAAATGTGCTATACATTGTTTTTGTAATTGCACAGTACCTAGAAAATGTGTATCTTTAGGTTAAATTCAAACCAGATTATTTAAATTAGCCTTGCAATTAATTCCTATTCTTATTATTGAAGTTCTGTGTATATATATATTAGATCATTGAAGGGGTTCAAATTTGCTCATTTTGTTTGGAGTAGAAATACATATGTACATTTAAAGGTATAAGATTGTTTTATAATAGCCTGGGGTAGAAATAGTACTCTGTCTGAGAGTTTAAATATCAGCATATCTTTTGTATATTAACCTATTTTGTCTTTATTATTATTATTATTTTGTATATAACATACTTGATATGAAGTTTTATTTATTTAAATTAGAAAAATTTTTGGACAATAATGTTTATTAAATTTTAGTTTTCTGTAAAATGCATATTTTGTTGATTAAAACATTAATTTATAAACATATATTTTAATCTTTGTTGTACCTCTTTTTTTTTTTGACTAGACTGTGTGTGTGCTCATACAAAATTTCTGTCTGATAGCTCATGTTCATGGAGAATATGTTTTCATTTGCAGAGACCATAAAAGTTTAATCTAATGTCATATGAAGAAGCCCTTATTCCTAAGATATGACATTGGATACCATAGGAATGCAGTAATCATACTAAACAAAAACCTGTATTAATCAAGATAAACTATTTACTACCCATCTCACCACCAGAGGTGCAACTATGCAAGCTTCAGAAAACTTCAGTATTACATAATCTTATTTAACATGCTGTTTTGCCACTAAAGATTAGGTATAACTTATAACTAGAGGTAATACAGCTTTATTCTTCGTTATCATCCTGTGATCTAAACTCATATTTAGCACCTTAAGGTAATAAATGAAGTATATTTATCCAGAACACACAGTACAAAATATATACCGTCACACAAATTGTAGAGAATAGCAAAATGCCTATATTTATTATACAGGGTATTAAACAATTTTATTTTTATTTAGAATGTGTAGGACACAACACTTTTCTATTGATTTGAGAGGAAAAGAAAATTGCTTCATTTAAGATGTGGAGTGTAGTTGTACAACAAAAGAAAAACCTATTTTTAGTCTTGTGGAATAATAAAATACCATTTTACTTATTGATATAACAGATAAAATAAACTTGTACTTAGTGTGTGTTGATGTGTATGTATGTATATATACTATTACATCAAAGGCATACAGGCAATTACTTAGCTCTGCACAACTGGCATGAGAAAATTCTGTAAAAGTACAACATTTTCAGTATAGATGTACATGCTAACAAATATGTGATTATGACAGCAAAACAGGAACAATACAATGTAAAATTTTACTATGTATACTTTTGTACAAGTGATGTAATTGTACATTGTTTTGTTACAGTTTTACTGGCATGGTCAAGTATGTGTTAGCACATACATCTATAATAAAAATGTATTTTTACATAATATGCACACATATAGTAATAAAACATCCTTAATTAGTATGTAGACATGAAATATGTTTTTGTGTATTTATGGTAAATAATTAAGTTCATTTTTGTCCAGTATAAAGGGAAAAATGAAACATACCTGTATTGTGCATAAGATACTAAGGATGCACATGTGTGTCAAGTATATAAAAAAAATCATGAAACATTGTATTTAGTATATATAGAATAATCATTTTCATCTTGATCCAGTCTAAAAAGGATAGACATTTCATCTGGTAAATAAAAGATGTTAATCACATCTTTAGTCATTATATATATATATAGACTGGAATAACAACTTGAATCTTATGTAAGGTACTTAAACTGGTAAGTTCTCTAAAATTTTAAATTAAAGAATTATTGTCTGTCTATTACAATAAAATGTCAGAAAAACTGATTTCTTTGTACCCCCAACCTGACAAGATCTGGTATCAAATGAAATGCTTCTTGATAGTACTTTGGTGGTTAAAACTTAAATTTATATATATATAAATTATATATATATATATATATATATTTGTTTTGAATTATGATGAAAACGTCTATGTGTTGTCATGGCTGGTGCCTTATGCTTTCAAAGCAGCTGAAGGTTTTTAATTTTTGTAAGGTAAAGCATAAGTTTTAAACAATGTGAAGTATTTCTCTACAACACAAGATAAGATGATGTCCAGCTCCGTGATGCACAGCGATGAGAAATAAATCGGATGTTGATAATTTTATTACATTTCTTGAAAGAAACGTGTATTTGTAGTCTTGGTAGTTTGTAGTCTAAGTCATTTTCTTGTGACCTTTAAATTACACTCACTCAGAACATGACTCTAATTCAAGTGGACTGTTTCACTTAGTCATCTTATTGTTTTTCATTGGCAAAGAACAGGCAATGTGAAATAAAATATTTAGTGCATTTATTTTTACTTCTGATTGTATAAACTAACTGAGGGTACCAACTGAGAAAGAAACATTTTATAAAGGACAATATTAGATAATGTTCCTTTTCCTTGTTTTATCAAATCTCTAATGACCTCATCAAATGTTTTTTGCATACCCAGCTTTCTGGAAGGTAATGATTGACTCATTTAACTGATTTGGTACTTGTGTCTTTAAATTCAAAGCCAAAAGTCTATAAAGGAAAGAAGGGAAATGTGGCCTATTTTGTGGTGTGTGTGTGTTTTATCTCCCCTCTGGCAAAAACCCTAAAACAGAGTATCCCGTGTACATCGTCGGACAATTTCCAGTTACCATACAAAAAAATTTTAACGGTGATGATCTAACACACACACACACACATAAATATATCATCCTCATAGTAAAATGTGCATAAAAATGTTGATTATGTGTACTAGAATACGTCTTAAAGACGTATAATTACGTGATGTTTTTGAAACTACAAAGATACTATAAAATTTCAAAGAATGTTAATATTAATGTGTATGTATTTTGTTGTTGTTCAGGCACTGACGAGTGCATTTCGCAACAAACGTAACCTGTTTAACATGTACTATAGAACGTCACGAATGTAATAAGTTTAAAGATTGTTTTCCAAAACGTTGACCCAAATATAAAAAATTATCATTAGGAAGAAAAGTATTTTTGCTAAAATTATGATGAAGGTAAATGTTAGTGTTAGAACTTATATTCCACTACGAGGCGCTAATGAACACATCTCTGTGTATTTAATCTGATCAGCGTCTGTTTCATGGAAGAAAAACCAAATCAAAGCTGAAGGCTACAACGGGGTTGGAAGAAAATTTAGTAAAGGAGTTTCAGTTTATGATATTTATAAATTCTTTGCATTAAAATAATGGAAAATGAGGAGACTGCAAGAAAACTGATTACTACATCTCATTGATTGAGAACACGCGAACGGGTTAAATATATTATTATCCTATTTCATATCTCTAAGAAGTTCGGTTGAATAACCTACGAGGTGTGAAAATATAACACTAATAGTATAATATTGTAACTATTTATTAATCTGTGATTGTGAATGTCTCCTCTTAATATTTTAACGCTCAGTATCGTAATCTTTAGTTATGCGCAGAAAATATTTCTGTTCTTTTAGTGTCATTATTTTGTAATATTTCACTAAGTTATTGCAAGAGTACATAAAGGCAAGAAACTCATTGCTTCAAGCTACATACTCAATATTCATTGCCAGTCATTTCGAAAAATTATATAAATACGTTCGACAATAGGCCTTATTACGGAAACTATCTGTAGAAGTTATTTAATTAAGTGCCATAGATAAATAATCCGTTTAATGTAAAAACATACTTGACTTAGCGCGACCGAGTTGTGAATCCGACAATTTATGGTTTACATACTTTTGACGCAAAAACGCTCTTCTCATTTCAGGGACGTTCGTGTGCTATAATTATAAGAGTGGCGCCTTTTCGGCCATGCAAATAGTATCCAGAAAATTAGCGGTGGATACTGTTGACAAGCTGTCTTCCCTATTGTCTGTCAATACAAAAGAAGGACGACTATGCACAGATAGTCCTTGTATAGTTTTTCTCGAAAATTCTTAAAAAAGCATTTAAACTTTTCGATTTCCTGGAAAAACGTATACGAGATTTACCATGTAGTTAGTTACAAGTTAAGACAAGGTGAATTTTTGTGCGCATATGCTTGTTGAAATGTATTTGTTATATATTGACTAAATATTTGGCTGGGAAATCCACTCACCTGTTTACAAGTTACATTTTGAATGCATTCATTAGTTTAATGAATGTATCGTGGTACTAATTTTTTTTAATTAATCGAATCACAAAAAGGAGGGATAAGATCTAATTATTGTCATTGCTTGTAAAAATCTAGAAAATTTTCTGTATATATCAGCCTTCCGCTAGAGAGCGCTACCATTTCCTATAGGGTGTGTTCTTGTATAGAGGTAAATACAGAGAACTCGTCGACGTACATTAGTTTATGGAAGTGCACGTTGCATGTGAAGTTGACGTAAGCAGATGTGGGACAGGTTCTCACGTCACAGCTGAAGCTGGAATATTTTATTGTATCGTAGACATTGTGTTCTCTTAGAGTTCCTGGTTTGCTTGTTAAAGAACGTGTTTTTGATGTTGTTTAGAATCGTTTAGAGTTTTTGAATGGTGACCGTTCCGGAACATGTAATCATATGGACAGGACTTTTTACCACCTTTATAATCAAACTAAAGGTAATAAATTGATATTATCTAAGTCGTGATAATGTATAAAGGGTTGTAATGAAGGATTGTATATCTTCTATTGATTAAACAAGTAAAGGTCAAACGTACTCAGTAATACGGAGCCATCAGTATTGTAAATTGTAAGCTAAATTGCAATTTAACTTAAAATTCAGGTTCTTTGAAATGACATACAGTTTAAATGAAAATTTTGTCATGTTTGAATAACCAACAGATTGATCCGAGGTGAATGGCTTTCAAGTAATTAATTTAAGATTCATGCTCATAAAATAAGTAATAATTTGGAGTTTCGATAATATTAGTGAGGTCGTTAACAAACTTCAGTATTAATCGGTAGTGGCAGCAGGGAGCTTTTGTTGTGCAGTTAGTGTTTGGCTTAGGAATGCTGAAGCCAAGAATATTTAGTAGCCAAATACATGAAAATGTTTAACCCCAGTGTGCACAATTAGGAGTCAAAGTGCGCATGTTACGACCTTTTACAGAGTGCCATTCAACATGGTATTATGTATTTGATGTCAGAGTTAGTAGCTATTCATTTTCCCCTGCATTGCTGGTTTAGCACAGTTTGTGGTAAAGGAGAGTAAATACTACAGACACTATACAGGTATATTGAAAAATTTGTAGTTATACATTTTGATTGCTCTAGAGGTTATGCAAATCACATATGCAAATGTACACTGGGTAAAGGAATATTTATTTTTAATCTGAACATCACCCTGCACATTTACTTGTCAGTCTGAGTCATAATGTAAATGACAATTCATAGATGTGCCTTGACCACAACTTTTGTAACACATCTGATTTTTTTGTGTACAGTAGTCTTGTATGTATTACTAATAGCTTATCACATTTGGTGTAGTTACACATAGTTAATTCAGAATTATAGTAAACAATCCTTCTCTAGTACACACCAACCATGTGCATATTTGGTTAAGTTGAAGAAAATGTGCGTGTGTGGAAAAAATGAAATTTTTCTTTGCATTTATACTGTTTAATTTAATTGTTAAATGTTGCTTGGTAAAAACCCATGGATTATATGTTTCATTATTGTATTTTGAAGCAAGTGTAACTAACCATTACAGTATAAAGGGAAGAACATTTTACTAATTGGCTGAATAACAAAGTAAATTGCGAAGCATGTGGCTTGAAAGCTGAATTCTAAAAAAGTTATCATAGACTAGTAGCTTACTGAATATAGGTATGCTGGGATATTAGATAACTAAGTAATATCCAGTGTAAAGTTTACAGTACACATGTAGGCTCTGTGGTGAACTTAGTGAAAGGAACTGGGAGACACTACCTTTTCACAGTTCAGATTGTCTTATATTACACAATAAAACCTGTTTGGAAAAAGTGCTACTTGGCTATTAGGATACCTTTCATAATTCTGTTTAAGATAACATTTTACTTTCTGTTAGAAGCAAGGGGTTTAATTATATAAATGTGTTGGTTTTCTTGTGTTACACCTACACATTCAATTGTTCTGCATTACTCTAGCTGTACCAGATATAGCAAGAGAAAAAACTAACAGTGGGCAGAAAGACCAGTTTCATCAGGATATTGTGATCAATTATCATATGATGTTGTCAGGTTAGGCTGAAAATACCTGTGACAACAGGGTTACTCAGTCGATTATTCATTGCAGTCTGATAATTACAAGTTTCAAGTCTTCTAACTGGCTTGTATCGTAGTTAATTGTCTGACAATTACTAATATATTTTTATAATTTATTATTTCAATTTGCCTTCATAATTTTACCCAACTAATTAGCATTAAATTTATTTTATTAACAATTTTATAAGATACTGTATTCCAAATTATTCTAATTGAAATTTTATTTAATGTATAGAAAAGATAACCATAAATAAAATAAAGATTTTTACTAGTTATTTTTTGAACACTGCATTCTTCAGTGTTTGTATTAAGCTCATGTGATGATGATAATTTTCTTCCTAGTATTATTATTGTGCATGTTTTTAAACATGTTCATTGTGGTACAGTAGTCTAAACTTGTTTTTTCTGCTTGTAAATGCTTTGCATATAACAAGTGTCATTACCACTTTTAGTATTTAACTTTGCTGATGATAATTTTGTCTGATGTATCAAACCTATTTATTTTTAAACATATTTATTTCTTTGTCTACACTGTAAAGTTAGAACATTGTACTGAAGAAACTTGATGTCTAATTTATAGTGAAATAGGGTTCTGAACTTGTCCAGCAGTTGAAACATAAATACATTAACCCTAGAATTACCAGATGGGCTTTTTAAACACATTTTTCTCAACAGTATCTTCACAGATTGTTTGTAGATCCATGACTGTTTGTTAAAGGGTCCCTGATAACTTACAAGTCACACAAAAGGAAATTAAACAAAAATACCATCAATATTGCAATTAATTGCACTAATTATTTCTGTAGTCTCTCATCCTTTTTACACAGAAAATGAATGATCTCACTCAAATGCTTTGTTCAGTTCTTTACACTGAGTGTTGTAGCAAATGAAAGCAATCACTCAGTATAATGCTATATGTGAATCTTACTGGTAATGAATGGGTGAAAAGTCAATAATTTAAGGTTTAATATTATACAAGAATGTGTTGTGATTTTCTTTTTCTTGTCTTTAATATTCTGTCGTTAAATCTACTTTCTTTTAATGTGAAATGTAAAAAATCTAAATTTCTTATCAGCTTAGTTACTATTAATGTTAAGTGTTAGATTCAAGGGTGGAGGGGGATGTCATCCACTCACCTCTTTAGAAGTGCGAGTGCCACCCACCCACAATTTTAGAGAAAATCACATTTTACATGCTTCTATCTGTACAATGTTTTGTTGTGAATAGTAGTTTTTGAAAGGTTTCAGTTTTGCTAATTCATCTTATATATGCACTTCCCACTCACTATTTTATGTATGAGTCTAACTCTGAAAGATGAAGTAATTTTCAGTAAAATTTCACCCATCAAATCAATTTTGCCATGTATATCATAGACAGATTGAAAATTTGTCTAAATAATTTTGTTTTATATACTGGTTATATAGTTAGTGCAATATGATAAAACCTAAGCTTATGATAATTTTCATGAATTTATAATGTTGATATTTTTTTAGTAATGCTGGGAGTCAAGTTGGTGGTAGTCATTTTGAAACCAATGACTAATCTTCAAAACCACTGATGCCTAACTTGATGAGACTCAAGAGTCACTACTTGTACCGTCATGGCTGAAGGATATCTTGGTGGAGATGACTATCTTGTCAAGAGACTTCGGCTAACACTTGATGTAGGTGTCCATGGGACGTTTTCTGGGAAGTCCCGACAACATTTTTCTCATCAGCGGAATCACAGTTTAGACTTCAGGCAACTCCATACAACTGTCCAAACTCATCACCGAAACCGGAGTCTAGACTCTGTGCTTCAGGGGATTCCAGAAAGTGGGACTCAACTTTCTACTTTTGTCAAACCTTCCTTAGCTCTATCTATTGGTACCACTTCTCCATGCTCTTCTTTCTCTCAGAATTCTGCCCCTCTTGGAGGGGGAACTAAAGACACTGACCGGACCAGTCTAGCTTCTGATGACAGTGGTATATTTAACTCAGATGATGGTGACAGAGCAGCTAGAATAACAACTTTTGACACTTCCTCCATCAGCTCTGAGCAGAGAACAAACAGTTTCTCCCAGTTATGTCTGGATTGTGAACCTTCTCGTCTGGATGTTGAAGTGGATGTTGTACCCATGGAAACAGAACCTGACAATGCTGAAATAACAGTTGATGAAGTGAGTGAACTAAAGCCCAAAGAGGCTCAACATGCTAATATAACAGCAACAACTCCAGCATGGTCAGATAATACTAAAGTTCCAGTTGTGCTTTCTAAAAACCCACCACCACGAGAATCCTGGTTATTAAGACTCTTTGAGTCAAAACTTTTTGATATGTCTATAGCAATCACATATCTCTTTAATTCAAAAGAACCTGGAGTGTTGTCATATATAGGTAAGTTCATACATCTCATTGCTTATATACATCTGATTTGGAGTGTAAATTAACATTTTACAGTATATATATGAACACCATGATGTATATTAATTATGAACACACATAAAAAAATACGAAGCTGTTACAATTAATTTTTCATTTAAGAAACTTCTTGCATCTTCATTGATTTTATGATGTAAATGTAGAAACTGCAAGTTGCACTACATTTTAGGACAGGATATGTCTTTGTTTTTTTTATATGTTCACTCATTTTATTAACCTCTTGTTTGTATCTAGTACAAGTTTGCAAATGACTAAGCTTGACCTCACTGGTGTCATGTTTTTATTGGTTTAACTTTACATGCACACACATTGCTGTGTCTAAAAGAATGTTCATTAAATTAGATTTTTCTATCCTATTCAGTTACTCTCTTTCTCAAGTTGTAGAATCAGGAACTAATGATATTTTCTCCACAAAAAATGTGGGAGTTAAATATTCATTAGTTATTTATTTTATCTTGATCATTGGCATCTTTGTTTGTGATATGCCAGAAGCATTCACTTTTAGGTTAAGCCAGATGAGTAATGGAATTTTGTTATTTGTTTGTGCAAAGTTTTAGTGGAAAAATAAATCTAGATTTATTCCTTTATTTTGTTTTATTTTGAAATGTTTGTTATTAAAAACATACCTTTTGTTTTGTGGAATGTTTCATGCCTTCCCTATCCACTGTGACCTGTCTTTGTAAATATAACCTTGTTTTAGTGAGAGTAACTTAATCAGTCTGATACTACACTAGTGAGTCTAAATCTTTATATATTAATGTATGATAGATGTGAGAAAGCAAGCATTTCCTTAACCATGCAGAGATGTTTTATTAGTGATCCATGTTAATTAAACAGCCCTTACAGAATCTAAGAGTAATCAAGAGGGCATTGATTTGTTAATTTTAACTTGTTCAATTTTTAATTACTATCAGCAGCTACCATTTGTGAAAATTGAGTTTTAGCCAAGATTCATACATCTTTTGTAAGCTTTTTTTTTCAAACTAGGTGTATTATGAAATAATATCTTAAATATTAGTTACTTGTAACCACTAGTGCCCCTTTATTGAAGTTAGCTAGGTTGTAAAATGACAAAATGTTACCTGATCATTCAGAAATTATCACAACTTCCCTTCATTTTTACTAGTTTCACTATTTCTTACGTTATTGACCGTTATTTGACTGTTATTGATGTGCATAAAATATATTTAGTCTGTTAAATTAGATTTAATGATGTTAAACAAAGATTTAGATATTCTTTTAGTTTTTCATGAACTTTTGACAATTCATATTCTTACTTTTAATACTTTTTTTAGGACTGCCTTAAGGTACTATTATTTCCACAAGTGTGGCATGCAGTATATATTACTGTAATCTGTGTGGTGATTATGAGTAAAGTTCAGATATTTGATACAACTGTAGAATAATCTAAACCATTTAGACACAAGTGAACTTGTGCTGTGATGTGATGCAGTGTATGTACATAACATTTATACAACTTACTTAATTGTAGCAATGGAACTATTTTCATATCAAACTTGAGAAATGACTTATCCCTTCTAAGGGGGCTAGATCATTGTGTGGAAAAGTAACTTAATCATAACTAGGGGATGTATACCTAACATATTAACCAGATATGATTAGTTGAGTACATGAGAATATTTTAAATTGGTATCTTATGAATTTAATAGGTTTGTATATGTGGTACTTCATACTGGCTTGGTACCTGACTCATACTAAATTGATACTCATTGAACCCATTACTTGGCTAACACCTAAACAACTGTAGAATATTATTTGAGCATTTTAGTACAAGATAAATACCTGGAGAATTGGAATAAGGTGATGTGCAGATTCATAGGTGTTTTAATATTTGCCAGTTACACATTTACAGTGATTATGTGTGACATTAATCTATGGAATGAAACCTTGGTGGCTTATTTATACTAAAATGGATAAACTAAAACTTACTTAATCTATAATCAAGTGTTGTGGGTATATACTAATACTATGCAGTAGAAGCTTTATGTAACCTCAGTATGCAAATATGAAGGAGATTCTTTGTGGTTCAAAATAAATGTGGATTTTCATTGATGAAAATGCATTATATTTTGAGCTGTAGTTCATTTTTTTTTCTTGTTTCAGCTTTAAAAAAGGCAGTCTTAGTCATATGTACTATTCATTTGTTAAGTTTATAAATGTCTTATAGGTATAAATATATCTAGTCACAAATATCAGCCAGCAATATATCTTTATATGTGCAACATTTTGTTACATAAAATGTGTGTGTCTTTTCTTAAGTGGAGTTATACTGCTGTCAGTTTGATATTATTCTGATGAATAATACTAGAGATTTTTCCAACATTCTCTTTGGCATGGGTTTACAAAGAACTTCCACTATCAGTCTTGTTTGGTTCGTGTTGTATGTTATTGGGCAAACATGTGACTTACTATCTTTATCTTTCCTTCTACTATTTCCAAACTTCCCTTTATCAGTACAAACACTGTTTATCACATTTATTTTTGGAATTTGAACAACAATAAAAAGTAGAGGCCTTTTTTGTTCCAAAATGTTTAGATCAGCCTTTGTTGTGTTCTGATATTGATCACCATCTCCAGGTGTTAATGGTGATGAGAGCAAATCCATTTAGTTAGCTCCTTTCATAGCTACAAGTTTAAACATTTTACTCCTGTGAAAGTTCTTCAAAAACATATTGAGAAATACTGTGTGGTGTATAAATCAGAGTACTTTGATTTGCCAAACTATACTTAATGATGACATTAGTTTCATAAAATGTACCTCAATGTCATCCACAGTATTTGCGACTTATGAGTATTATGCAGTTTTCTATTGACATTTAACTACCCAAAAACTTTATTTTATGTAGTTGCCTGTTTTATTTTGCAAACTATACTTTGAAAATGCAAGTGATAAATTCATGCCCATTACTGAAGATGTACTGAATTCTAGCTTGCAAAACGTTATCCATACATTTGGTTTAGTTGTCAGTGGTGTATACTTTATCCATAAATTATTTTTGGTGAAGATGTTAGTTCTAATTTACAAAATTGTATCCACAAAATATACACACGCACACACACACGGTATGTATCACACTGAATTCATTCATATGTTTATTTTGATGTTATAATTGTTTGTAAATTGCTAAGACATGAGCATGGGTAAATCAGTGTAGATTTAGAGGAAGTAGTGAGTTTAAAGTGTGGATTCCTTTCCCTATTTTTTGACATTTTTTATTTTTATGATAATCTTGTTTAAGTATAGTTTATCGCTTGTCAACAAACATCGAGAGCTGGAGAACTCGCACAAAAACGAAACTTGTTTTATATACGGTATACATTCTTATGGGAATTTCTTTAGAGTGCCAGATAAAAAATTTCAACTTCGTTGTTCCTTGAATAGCCACGTAGATCACACCATAGCGATTTTCAATAATCGGCCAAAATCCACGTTATTCAATTTTCCATGTGTGACTACAACGAACCAATCAGAAACGTGAGAGTTTTTAAATTAGTGTACTTCCTTTGGCAGCTACTTTTAAACCGCTGTGTTATTGAGAACGCCTATACTTTGACCTTGCATGTCATTCTCTGTTGTAGAATCACCAACGTGTATTATCTGAAGATCTCGTGTAGCAGTCATGGGGGGGGGGGTAATATGGGTTCAAGAAAGGAATGTTGATGTCTGCACCCTGAAGGGGAGGGTTAACTTCCTCACTGGGGTGTTTTCATGGAAACGTAACTTTGATATGTGGATTTTGCAATCATTGTAAATAGAAACTATTTCATTTGTACGGTCATGGTAATGATGAAATATCATTCGTCTGTCTACATTTCTCGGCGTCATTTTGTACTGTTTGTTAGTTTTGTTGGTCGTAACAATTTCTTGCTTCTAACTGCAACAACCAAGAAGTGTGCGACGGCTAAGTTAATGTGTTTCGAACTGATATGATAGGACATTAACAGCTTGGAGTAACATAATACAATCAAGTTAGTGGGAAGATACGAGGATACTTGATATCTGATTTACTCTGTATCTTAGTGTAAAATACTAGTGGATGTATATAGTTATCCAGTTCGGTTTATGTATCGAAATTCCCCAAACTCTGCAGTACGTAAAACAATTTTTACTAAGCACTGAAGATTATAAAGAAAAAATGTGTAGATTGCTGAGTAATGAATGATATGCATGTTACGTTAATTAAAACACGAAGTGTGTTGATGAATTATGACTTGTGTGAAAGACCTTTATTTGTTACCGTACGAGCGACAACTCAGTTGGTACATACAAGTTAGTTGAGGCGACATTCATAAGATTTAGGTATCAGTAGTGTATGGCTCATAGTTCAATGAAATAGGGGGTGTTAGGCTGACAGATACAGTAAAGAACGTCATAACTGATCTCATGACCTAGTTTGTTTGTATGCGCATGTGTAGTAGTTTTCTATGTTTCAATCAAGAATGTCTTGACTTCTGCTACAATATTTGTTATTGCTGTTAATTAATTCTGTTTTGAGTAATATAACTAAAGAAAAAAAAATGGTATAGTTGAAATTACTATACATCAAGTAACACAGACGCACAAATACACAAACATATATATAATATACATAATACTTTATGTGGTGTTAGGTATGTGTTAACTTGTATTTGTTGTAAACAAATATAATTAGGGGAAACAGAAAACTTACGTTTAAGAATAAAATTAAAATACATTAGTTGTACTTTGAAAAATACCATACTTTACAAGAGCTTTTTTTTTTTCAAGTATTTTCATTTTGGTATTCTTGTACAAAATAAGGTTATTTTATAAAAATAGTTTTACAAATATAAAACTACATTAAATGTTGCACATTTTAATGCATAGAGGGAATTTAAAACACACAACATTAAGGTAAAGAACGCAGAAAGTTTTGTTATTATTAGGTAGGTCTTACATAAAAAACTCTCTGGAA